TCCTAATATAGCGTTAGGTTCGCTATTCATAATTCGGAATGAGCTTCGCTATTCATAATACGGGATAAGGGTTGCTATTCATAAAAATGAAAATGAAATAAGCAAATAACAAAATTTTAATCAGAAAGCAAAATAATTAATAGGGGACACCCCACGGCTGTAGCGTAGGCGGGAGGGGGCCACATGGCCCCGAATATTTGTAGAAAACATTAATTGAAAACAAATTGAAAACATTTCTGAACCAAAGAAAAGAAAAAGGCATGCCCCCCCCCCCCCACCAGTCCAACCATTCGGCCTACCCTCCCTGCAGTATTTCCGTGGTACAAGTACATATTACCGACAATTCTCGTCCAATTACTTCATAGATGGCGTAGGCTATATGTGTTTCACGGGGGGGGGGGGTGCGGTTGGGGTGTAGCAGTGTTGCCATCAAGGGGTTGATCTATCATGTCCCTTACCTTCAGCAAAGGAAGAAAGCGACAAAAGGGGGGTTGTAGGCAGGGGCGTCGCTAGACCTTTTTCATTTGGGGGGGGGGGGGGGGGGGGGGGGGCACCGAGTACCGACAAAAATAGCCACCAATTATATATTAACATAATATATTAATGCCAATGACCCAATGTTTACACATTTAACCCTAAAAATCCGGGGCCAGGAGCTAAATTATTTTCAAATCCCGCCCCCCGCTCCACGCGGAAGCTCTGACGTTTCATTAAAACATTAAAGAAAGAAGACGATTCGTTGTACCGTTTAATACTCTTAATCCTTGTCTGAATTCATTATTCCCCGCCCGCGCAAAGCGCGGAAGCTTTGACGTTTTATTGCATCAATATAGAGAAAGAAGACGATTCGTTGTACCGTTCTCGACTCTTAATTTTTGTCTGAATTCTGTTTCCTTAAAATATTAGCGAAAGAAGACGATTCGTTGTACCGTTCTCGACTCTAAATTCTTGTCTGAATTCAGCTTCCTCCCTACCGCGCGAAGCGTGGAAGCTTTGACGTTTCATTAAAATATTAGCGAAAGAAGGCAATTCGGACGATTCGTTGTACCAATTCTTAATCATTGTCTGAATTTTCAAAAATGTTTCTTTATCCGATAAAAAAGTTACACTTCGTAGGGAAAACAAATTACCGACAAAATACATCTCACCGATCTCAAACTTCTACATAAATATAGTATACGAGGATCGAGCAAGAATACCGACACAGCAACAAAATATCTATGCGTATCTTTCTCCCTCGACGTGGCGACTCCACCAAACGTACCCCCTCTCTCTCTTACTCCCACCCCTCTTCTCTCAGACTCTTACCCCCCCCTCTCTCTATTTCTCTCTCTTTCATCCCCTGTTTCTTTTGTTTCCTTTTTCTCTTTTTTCTTCTTTTTTTCTTTTGCTCCTTTTATTTTTATTTTTCCCCCTTTCTTTCCTCTCTTTCCTCTTGGTCTTTTTTCGCTTTCTTTCTTCTCTTCTCTTTCATTTCTTTCCTTTCTTTTCCTTTTCTTTTCTTAACCTTTCCCTCTCCTTTTTCCCCTCCCCCTTTTCTCAGTTTCCCCGACAGCAGCGCAATTTTACCGACAATATTCTGACAGGTGGGGGTGCGGCACCCCCACACTCCCTTTAGCGACGCCCCAGGTTGTAGGAGTTAGATTATATACAATATTCAAGCTTTTCGGAAATATACAATATTGCACGATTTTTTTTCTCCTCATAAGTGAGGAAGTAAGATTGTCAAGATTTTTAGTCAAATAAGATACGATTTTGCGACCGTAAAGCATTATGCAAACGGTGGTGTCCCCTATATTATGTCTTTTTAAAGTAGGCCTATAATTTCTTTTGAAGGTATTACACAGTTTTGGTATGGGTCATGAATTTAGTTCAAATTAACATATTGGAAGCCTATGCTTTCCTACAATATTCATTGATCGTTGTCACGGTTGAAATCAAGTCTAAAGTGATGAAATTATAAATTATAAACTCTTTATGTTGTATAGCTCCCTCTCAAGGTCAAGATATTAATTTAGCTATGAAACAATGTTTCTTGACTAAAATCGACCGATTAGCTATTCCCGTTTGGAAATTATATATCACAACTACATATTCTGAGATTTTCATGGTCGCAGCTACCATTGTACGGCCATAGACGCTATTTGAAATTTATCAAAATATACCGGGAGCACCGGTAAATGTTTATATTCAATTTTTCTCAAAAACAGAAGAGTTTTAGGGGCTAATTTTTTTAGTGCGTATTATACATCCACAGGGGCATCCAAATATATCAAAATTGTAAAGATTCACTATCCACCCAATTTTCAAAATTTCCCAAAACTTTGTTTTACCTTTAAGCTTTGATAATTATATTAAAATACATTTCCATAATCTAGGTAATAAAGGAAACATAACACACACACATAATCCTATCGTAATTTGTCCCCCTTGTGCGAAATCTACCCCCCCCCCACTCCTCCCCTCATCTAATAGTCAAACTTAAGAAAATTTACTTTGGTGACAAGAAAGACCATACAAAAAAGACAATAAATGCTTGATTCATATTCGGATTGTATTAACTCTTTGTACGATTCATGACGCAAAAACCCTCAAGGTCCGAAAGTGTTCGAGCCCCCTATCCCCCCTATCCGGACAGAAGGTAGGCTCGTGGTCCGGCCCAACCTTGCTATATAATGTGTAGGTTTATAAGTCCTACTAAAAGCTACTTTCTACTAAACATAAATGTCGTGTAAACAATGACAATTTCTGAAATTGCAAACTCAGTCCTCAAATAACTATGAAAATGGGCCTGCTTGGTCTATTTAATGTCGCATTGGCATAGACTGGATAAAGACTAGTCGGGGGCAAATTACGATACGAATATATGTGTTCATGTTTTCCTCTTGTCTTCGTTACCATAAGGGCGGTAGATGTCTCTACACAATTATCAAAGATAAAAGGTGAAATATACCTACTTAAAAACAAGACAAATATTCAGAGCCATGTGTCGCCTTGGGTGGGTCCTTCGTCCAATATTTCCCTTTGTTATGAGCATTTTGGATATTGCTTAGGCCTATTTCATTTTATGAATAACAACCCTCATCCCGTATTATAAATAGCGACCCTAACACTATATTATGAATAGCGACCCTCATTCGTATTATGAATAGCGAACCTCTACTCCTATTATGAACAGCGAACCTAGTTTCGTATTATGAATAGTGACCCTATTATAAATAGCGACCCTCATTTCGAATTATGAATAGCGAGCCTTTACACCTATTATGAACAGCGACCCTCTACTCCTATTATGAATAGCGACCTTCATTTCGTATTATGACTAGCGACCCGTATTTCGTATAATGAATAGCGAATCTCTACTCATATTATGAATAGCGACCCTCTATTCCTATTATGAATAGCGACCATCATTTCGTATTATGAATAGCGAACCTCTACTCTTATTATGAATAGCGAACCTCAATTCGTACTATGAATAGCGACCCTATTATGAATAGCGACCCGCTATGCCTATTATCAATAGCGACCCTCATTTTGTATTATAAATAGCGAACCTCTACTCCTTTTATGAATAGCGAATCTCTACTCATATTATGAATAGCGACCCTCTATTCCTATCATGAATAGCGACCATCATTTCGTATTATGAATAGCGAACCTCTACTCCTATTATGGATAGCGAATCTCTTCTCACATTATGAATAGCGACCCTCTACTCGTATTAGGAATAGCGACCCTCTACTCGTATTAGGAATAGCGACCCTCATTTCGTATTATGAATAGCGACCCTCTATTTCTATTATGAATAGCGACCCTCTTTTCGTATTATGAATAGCGACCCTCTTTTCGTATTATGAATAGCGACCCTCTACTCGTATAATGAATAGCGAACCCCATTTTGTATCATGAATAGTGACCTTCATATGAATAGCGATCCTCTATTCGTATTATGAATAGCGACCCTCATTTCGTATTATGAATAGCGACTCTCTACTCCTATGAATAGCGACCCTCTCGTCGTATTATGAATAGCGACACTCTCGTCGTATTACGAATAGCGATCCTCTTCTATTATGAATAGCGACTCTTAAGAGTAATGAACCTTATTTCGTATTATGAATAGCGACCCTGTCGTCCTATCATGAATACGGACCCCTGATTTCATATTATGAATAGCGGTCCTTATGATTAATGACCCTTAATATGATTTATGAATAACGACCCTCATCTCACGTTATGAATAGTGGTCTTCATGATTAACGAACCTTATTTCTGTATAAATAGTGACCCTCTTTTACCATTATGAATAGCGGACCTGCAGGTATGGGAAGTTCCACGTTACGAATAGCGGTCCTTATGAATAGCGGTCCTTATGAATAACGGTCCTTATAAATAGCGAATAGATCCCAGTGATAGGGTTATAATGAATAATAATGAACGTATCTTGGAGCCCATATAGTGTCGACCTATTGGCAGTCGGTCTAGGTCTTGTCTTAAAAAACATAGATTTAACCGTAAACCTTTTTTTTATCATATTTATATATCATATTATTATTATTATATATATATATTATATATATATATATATATATATATATATATATATATATCATTCCAAGCTCTACCCATATTTGTTTACTTCAATTTGGGTGGCTGTCGCAAAAGGATATCTTTCCATCATTTGTAAACATCAATAACACACTCTTTTAGTGGCCACAATTAAACTGATTGAACCTTTGCGCAGCACAAAGCGTACGACCTTTTGGTACAAGGGTCTGAAATTAGACTATTTACTAAATAGATTGCAGTCCCTAAAGTTGATTCGACAACTAACGGTCGTTTTTTTTTCCACAAAAAGACATTTTCAAGCCCCCTTTTTTTTTGGGGGGGGGAGTTATGAATTAGTTTTATCTTTCAAATGCCGGTGGTATTGAACCTTTTCATTCTTTGGGCCAGCAAATTGGACCTTGTACCTTTAAGAGAATCTCACTATTTACCTTTAGCGTAATCTTACAACTCTGTTGTAGCGCAAAGACGGGTATGCAGAGGCTGATTCCATGGTACGGTAGTCGGATGGTGCCCCCTCTTGAATCAATTGTCTCAGTTGTCACGCCTGCTCCTGGATATTAAAATTCAAAGTATAACAATCATCATGAATTATTTTGCTCTGTTTGATTAGAGTTTAATGTCTGAAAATTGTAATATAAACGTGAGCTTCAACTTTTGAATTCTGTAAAGAGATAACACAAGTTCCTATGCACTACACTCATGCTGTCATGCATTATGCACAAAAACGGGTCGTGAATAGACTAGTGACGCACAATTGTGAGTAATGATAATGCCCGCTAACACAGCCCATTTACATTTTTTTTCTCTCAAAACACTATTACTTTACATTACATGTATTACATTCATAACAAAAAAAAATTAAATGCCACCTCATTTAGAAATATCAAGTGAGCTATAGACTACTGCTTTACATTGCGAAGGGCAAAAGTAAAAACTTATGTATGATAAAATTTGTTTCTTTTTCTTTACTTTCAAGCAAGACACTTCTTTTCTTTTTAAAGTTTTATGTAACAATAAGTCATTTTATTTGTATCGTTCCTTCTTTTAACTCGTACGACTTCACTTAATAATTGACATGCTTCGTGAGTCCAAGCTTTATTCATTATTTGCCACCGACACCCATCAAATTAAAGAACTACAACACATATTCATCTAAGTAAAGTAATTCAATCCTGTACACACAATAATCATCCGTTTATAGAAGATGAATTAAAATTGTAAAATCGAGTTTTTGACTCAAATGAGCCGTGAAAAGTATTTTTCGATCCTACTTTTCCTTGTAACAGTGGCGGATCTAGCCGGCGGCAAGAGGGTTGGGGGGGGGGGGGGGGGGGGGGGGCGCGCCCGGGCCCTTTCGCCCCCATGGTTCTGCGCCTGCCTTGTTATTCAATTTAATTCAATTCATTTATTTGATATATTTATTTCTGTTTGATTTTCTTTTTCTTTATCCACTTAATATATGAAAAAAGATACATAATATTGCGTATGAACGCATTTGACAAATATAAAAAAAAAATGGACATAGTAAAAGTAGTTGAAAGCACAAGTAACATAAATTGAGTGGGAATCAGATTAAAGATCTCTTTAAAGATCTTGTGAATTTTACCCCATTGTGATATAAACATTGCATTTAATATTGATGCATGTAAAACAACAAGAAAGAGAATACATAAGCGGCTGGGTCATATAAAAACGAGAGAGGGAGATAGAGAGATAGAGACAGACAGAGAGGGAGAGGAATACAAATTGAGGGAGAGAAAGGCAAAATGAAAAGTAAAGTTAATGCATATGATGAAATTAGACCCAAATCAGAGTAATAATAAGAAAACCCATACAAACTAGGGGTATAACAGTTAACATTGAAATAAACAACCAACAATCGGTGACTAAATGTGAATAACAAGCAAAAGCCGTTTTTGTACTGTGTCTTGAAAACGTTCTGGGAGCGTGCAGTTTTTTAGATTAGCTTGCAATGCATTCCATAGTTTGGGACCTGCAGGGGCGGCTGAGCGAATTCCAAAGTGGGGGGCACCAACAAAAAAGGGCACTTTCTGGAAAAAAGGGGCACCTTCAGTGGGAAATCTCAAAGCGAAAATATACAATTTTTTTGACATTGGTATATACCCCTACATTGTGATTACATTATCAGGGATGATTTCAATATTTGTTTCTCTTCATACACCATACAAGATATCGCTTAAGCATCATAATTTACAGTTGGGTGTGATGTCTGAATATGCATTCACGAGCGAGCGAAGCGAGCGAGAAAAGTTTTTAAAGATCTGTGAGGTCGCAGTGCGAAAAATTACATCTTATAAAGAGGGAAAAAGCCAATCGTGATGGGGTTATAAGCACATTCTCATAACGGAAGACTGAAAATACCTTTGATAAGTAACATAATTATATCATCTTTAAATGCGAGCGAGCGCAGCGAGCGAACTTTGGGGGAAATTGCTCTTAGTCGCCTTAAAAAAGGGGCACGTTTAATGATTACATGAAAAGGGGACAATTATCGAAAGAAAAAAGGGGAAGTTGCCAAAGTAAAAGGAGCATCTCTCAGTTTTGAATAGGGCAATTATCAGAGGTGAAGGGGGCACTTATTAAAAGTGAAAAGGGGCACTTCTCGTACCTGAAAAGAGGCACTTACTAGAGATTAAAAAGGGCACTTATTCAAGATAATTTCAAGATTCATGAGAATGGAATATGGACACTTATTGCAAAGGGAAATGGAAACATGTCGAAGGAAAAGGGGCACGTGTCAAAAATAAAAAGGGCACTCGTCAGAGGTAAAAAGGGGGAAGGGGCACTTTTACTAAGTAATAGGGGCACTTGTCAAAGTAAAAGGGAAACCTTTCCTATGTAAAAGGGGCACATCTTACAAAATAAAAGGGGCACTTTTCCTATGTAAAAAGGGGGACTTTTGCGGTATCTGAAAAAGTGGGGGGGGGGGCGCCTCTGGGGACCTGCATAGTAAATGTTCTTTTAAGAAACTGATGTTCTTGCATATGGGATGTGAAATTCTGCATTTGATCGAGTACAATGGCAGTGGATTGCAGAGTTAATGGAAAATAGCGTGTCGAGCATGACAATATTGCAATATATAATGAAGGGATAAATGAGTGTCTAGTATAGAGATAACAAAGTATTTTTTTAGGCAGGTAGTTTAACTCGTTCATAACACCAATATTTCGTGAAATTGTTGTACATATGCAATTTACATCGTCATGCCAAACGCAATTTCTCATCAATTTGAATTCCTAGAAACTTTGTGTTAACTATCGTGATGTCAGAGCCTTTAAGATATACCTTATAGTTGGAAATATCAATATTTCTTTTGGTAAAAATCATCATATGAGTTTTGTTTGCAATAAGTAGTAGCTTGTTAAATTTGAACCAATGGGTGACATTTTCTAGTTCGAGGTTTAGAGTTTGAATAAGGTTTACTTCATCTTTGTTTGATAAAGAAATAGTAGTGTCATCTGCAGAGAGGACACAACTGATTTTGGAAGAAGATTTATGAATTACTCTTATAAATACATTAAAAAGAACAATGAAAATGCAATAATTTTTCAATAATTCATTGAATTACCCCCCCCCCCCGAGTCCCCAACAGAAGAAAAATTATGTGTACCTATGCCTTGAGCCATAATGCATGGTCGTACAGAGGATTTTTTATGTTAGGGGCCGGGGTAAAATGCAATGAATTATTGAAAATTTATTGCATTTTCTTTGTTTTTTTTATTTGTGGGAACTGCCCCCTACCCTAGCCCCCGCTGCGTACAGTCATGGTTCAGTGGCCAAGCAATGGTTTCGTAACTGTGAGACCCCAGGATCAACCCCGTGTCGATGTGCTTTATTAGTGCCCTTTTGTGGGGCATTAATCCTCGTTACTGTCATTTATGACGTGAGGGCGTAGGTACCCATAGTTGATAAGCATAGTAGCATACAAATGCTTTAGCAGTCACGCAAAACAAAAACTGGCAAAATTATTATTCAATAAAATCTGAGAAGAAAATGTATACTATTATCTAGATCTATTAGGAATAAATCACTGCCAAAATAATTCCATAAGTTGGGGTTAACAAAAAAAAAATCCAATTATATGAGCGACAGTGTATTAGAAAAAGTTGGGGGCCTAGAATTGACCCTTACGGAATTGCGCCCCCTTACGGAAGTGCCCCCCCCCCACGGGGGGGGGGGCACGGGGCGGCCTCCCTGTTTTTTTTTTTTGGTAAGAATTATAACCCCCCCCCCCCCTGAGCGAAAAATTGGTCGGCGCGATTTTAACATTTTCGGGGTCAAATAAAAAATTAAAATTATGCTAACTATCCCCCCCCCCCCACTGAACAAAATATTGGTCGTAGCGATTTTCGTATTTTTAGCCCCCCCCCCCCTATCGAAAAATCCTGGATCCCCACTGGTTTTTATTGTAAACAGTGAATTGCTTTCGGTCATCTAAGTAGCTCTGAAACAATTTCAAAGGGATACCCCTGATGCCTAAACATGAATAGCTTTGCTACTAATATTTCATGATTTAAAGGGATCGTTTAACAATGTTAAATCTGAGATACACGGCCCTACGCGTTATCAGTGTCTGTGATATGGTGTAATATTGAAGCCCTAAAAAAACTGCGCTTCAAAATGATCAAGAAGTGCCTCAAAAAAGTAAAAATCTTTGAGTGACCGGTTTTACCATACTCTTTTCCCCGAAAGACTGTAGTGTTATGAAAACCGTCCGGCGAACGGTTTTCAAAATTTGTAATTCCAATCATAAATATCTTGATAATCAGACAAGCGATCGGCTTGTAAAAGTCATGGGGTTCCTGACTGAGCTAAAGGTTTATAATTATTATTGCAGCATGAGCTAAATCCAGAATTTTGTTTAAGAATCTGAGACAAAGTTACCGGATCCCTTTAAGCAATCATTTGAAAGGTCCAAAAAATAAAAAAGATAGATATATCTTTAGCCCCCATAGCTCTTGTAATGGTATGAATAAATTCAATAAGAGCAGAAGAGGTTAAGTGTTTAGACCTGAAACCAATTTGATTAGTGAAAAGCAACTGAAATCTTTCAATAAAAGTGACAAGTCGATTGTACATGCATTTCTCAAGAATATTTGAAAATATAGAGAGGAGAGAAAAATGGGCCGATAATTTGAATACAAATGATACAACTTTCGATTCCATGTATAAGTTCATTAATTATGAACTCTTTCGAATTGTTTGATGAAGTATTAAATATGAATACAAGTAAAAGAATTTAGAAAGATGACCAGAATATATAATGATTTAATAATTTGATTAAGATGTATACTTACGACCTATGAACGAAGACCAAGTGCAAAAGAAAGTAAATAAAGATAAATATCAGAGTGACCTATATAAACAAATGTTGCTAATCTGTTTAATTTCTCTGTCTATGTGGGGGAGTAAAAAATATCAGTTGGAATAACGATGTCCATGGTTTTATTTGTTTACCCGACATTTCTGTTTACAATGGTTAGTCAAATATTTCGTTATCATTGTGCACGAATATTGCGTCATACCAAA